CCCCGGGGCTTGGCCGGGTCACGGAGCCTTCGCTGGGGGGTCCCAGCCCCTCGGTGAACCGGCAGCGTGCGGGAGGAGCTCCCCGGGATAACCGGGAAGGAGCTCGGCTGGCCCGGCTTCCGTCAGCTCTGGGCCCGGCCCTGGGCCTGCCCTGCGCAGGGGAGCTGCCGTGCAGGGGCGATGGGAGGTTTTTGGTTTTCTTTAGGCAGCTTTATTGACTTTGCCAAGGAGCCGAGGTGCTGCCACCTACGCCCAGACACTCCAGAATATCCCCGAGACCCAGGTGACCACTCTGGACAACGGTCTCCGCGTAGCTTCCGAGGAGTCCAGCCAGCCAACGTGTACGGTAAGTTCAGGATAGTGGCTGATCTGAGCAGTCAGCCTTGCCTGGGCTGGCACTGGCCTGCCAAAAGTGACAACCCCTGCTTGGACTGAAGCTTTTGGCAGTGTTGCCTCTTCTCTCTGTTAATTGGTCAGATGAACATCACAGCAGCAGAAAGCCTAGCCTGGCTTTGGGTAAGCCTTTAGTCAAGGTTTTGTGCTCTGCGAGTTTTCTCAGCCTCATGGTTTTTGTGTAAGCAGTAAGTGACCAATTGTAGTTATATCTCTGGGAAAGGCTTTGTTGAAGCTGCTGAGTAAAAAGCCACAATGGGAACAACAGGCAGTTGCTGATGCTTGTTCTTATTCTGGTGCTACTCGTGCAGTGCTTGTGGAGGATACTTCCTGTTCCTGCTGTTATATTTGAGGTGTGAGGCTTGAGCACGCTGTTTGATTTATTTTCTAATGCGTGTACCTGATGCTTTTGCTGTTAGGTGGGCGTGTGGATCGGGGTGGGCAGCCGCCACGAAAACGAGAAGAACAATGGGGCTGGTTACTTCCTGGAGCATCTGGCCTTCAAGGTAAGGAGGTGTGCTAGGTCTGACAGGACTGCACGGAGAGATGTTCTAAGTACTCGGCTATATATTGTGCTCTCACTTTGTAGGCTGTAGGTGTTAAAAGAGAGTGTAAATGAGGTCACCCAAGTCCCAGAGGCTTTGCACATAGTCTGAAAATAAACTTCAAAAAGCACCTAGCTTCTGTGGTGCTCTTTGTTTGAATATAAGGCAGCTTGCAAGCACGCATGAATTAAGGCAACTCTTATTTTCTAGTTGGTATTTCTTCTCTTAAAGGAAAATAAGTTGTAAGTCACAAGTGAGCTGGAGCCTCTGAGGCTGTGGTTCCAGTCTGTGACTATCCCAGCTGCTGTGCAGTGCACGTACAGGGCTGTGTTATGCAGCATGTTCCTTCAGGTTGGCAGGCAGAGCTCAAAGCAGGATGCCCTCTAGCCATTCATTTTTCTTTGGTTTTCTCAGCGAACCAGCAAAGTTTAGAGGCTATAGCTCTTGCTTTTCTAATGTGTGTGCTGAACAGCCCTAGGGCAAAAGGTGTCTAAGCCTGGGACTTGCTGCCTTGAGTCCAGGCTGTGCTGTCACTGGCAGCTGCAACATCTGGCTTGCTCCTTAAGCGATGAACTCTGCGTTAGAAGTAGTTTTCTGCTCCTCTTCTGGCTTTTTCTGGATATTGCTGCTTGGATAGCTGGAAACATGCTTATTTGTGGTTTAGGCTTGTTCTTGGTTTACTGCAACTGATGTGATCTTCAGCCACTGTTGTCCCTTAGTGTAGGTCTTCTCCCTCCCTCATGGGTTTTTACTGGTCTTCCAAAATACACCTCGACCATCCTGTAGCTAGAGTAAACAAGCCAAGGTTTAAATCTCTTGCTTTCTGCTTTTATGAATCGTGGGGCAGGTTTTATTGTTTTAGGTCTTTATTGTTCTTTTCCTGGCTTTTGTTCTGCCTTAAAGGGAAATCTGTTCATTTCCTAATTGTTTATCTGTTTTCTTCAGGGCACAAAGAAGCGTCCTGGCACTGCCTTTGAGAAGGAGGTGGAGAGCATGGGTGCTCACCTGAGCGGGTACACCTCGCGCGAGCAGACCGCCTATTACATAAAAGCCTTGTCCAAGGACATGCCCAAAGGTAGGGTGGCCAGTGGGCAGAGTTTCATTCGGAGGTTAAGGATGAAGCAAGCACATGTGCGTGTGTTTCTCTCCCACCAGCATCCTTTCTACCAACAGAGCAGGGAGTGCAGTTGTGGCTGAGCAGTAAACTGGAGGTTCTAGTTGGTAGCTGAAGGGAGCACTGCCATGACATGGTGCTTCCAGGCTGCAAGTTTAGTGTTCCTAAAACCGTCTTTGCAAAGCTCCTGTTACGTCAGGCTGCACTCTGTTGCCAGGAGGGAGAGGGCAGTTAAAGCAGTCTGTGGTTGTTTTTATGGAGCCGAGAAGCTGAGGCCAGCAACAGCTGCTGTGTCAGGAGCGCTCAGTGCAGCTTTTGTGAGTGTTCCTCGTGCTCTGTACTCCCACGTGCAGGCTGCTCTTTGGGCTGGTTTTGTCCAGAGGCAGTGATTTGAGCCAGAGCTTTGGGCCCTGCTGTAGACGTGGGCTGTGCTGTAGATGTCACAAGCTCGCTGTAAGCATTCAGCGTGTTTCTGCAACCCAGGACCCTGCTTCTGACGTGCTTCACCTTCTGCAGCTGTTGCCCGCTCTCCGCTGGCGGTGATGAGCTGACAGGGATGCTTGGCAAGCTGTCTTGGGGCTGTCATGCTCGAGCTGTTGCTTGTTGCTCTCTGAGGCCGTGGGAGTGGGCAGCACTCATCTCTGTTGCCTCGCATCCACTCCCCAGCATGGTTTGCTGCTTGCTCCCCTCACAGTGACCCTGCTCCCTGTGTATCTCTTCTCCTTTCAGCAGCTCTGGGTGGCAGTGAGGCAGCGGGATTGCTAACATGGGAAATATGTTGCAGTTGTAGAGCTCCTGGGCGACATTGTGCAGAACTGTGCGCTGGAGGAGTCTGAGATTGAGAAGGAACGTGGCGTCATCCTGCAGGAGTTGAAAGAACTTGACAGCAACTTGACAGATGTCACCTTTGATTACCTGCATGCCACTGCGTACCAGGGGACCCCGCTGGCCCGCACTGTCGAGGGGACCACAGAGAACATCAAGTGAGCAGCAGGCTGGGTGCGGTAAACAGCCTTGGGGTGCCCGGCTGCTGCTTCTCAGCAGTGGTGACTGCACAAGGAGGCTGGTCTGTACGCAGAGGTGATCTGTTCCCGCGGGCTTCTCGTTGTGTCTGGACTGTGTTTTCCCTGCTGGTGCTGGTGAGAGCGCAATGCTGTGCACATTCTTCTCTAGATCCCGCTCACGCAAGACGTGAGGTTGGTAGGCCCAGGTTGGAGCTTCTCCCGTATTTGTCAGTTTGACGCTGGTGGAGAAATTAAGAGCTCGGGTTCCTCGTTAAAGCAGTGGCCTGAAGCATGCACATCCCTATGTACTGATACACTGCCTCTCTGTGTTCTTTCCAGGCACATGACTCGAGCAGATCTGGCTTCATACGTTGATACTTACTTCAAGGCACCTCGTATGGTCCTGGCAGCTGCTGGAGGTAAGTTCTAGATCCCTGTGATTCTGGGAAGACTGGATATTCGCAAGCTGGTGATCAAGCCCCTGTCACGCATCTCTAATTTAACAAAATCATACCATTTTATATTAAGCTGTTTAAGAGTGTTGATCTTTCTCTTTCCCATGGCCAGGTATTTCCCACAAAGAGCTGGTAGATGCAGCCAAGCAACACTTCAGTGGAGTGCCTTTTGCATACAAAGAAGATGCTGTACCTGCCCTCCCGTGCTGTCGCTTCACAGGGAGTGAGGTAAAGTTGGTTTGGTCCTGAGCAAAACAAGCAGCTGTTGCCAGACTGTTGAATGAACGTGAAACCAGTTGTGGCTGCTTCTGAAAGAGGAGAGAGGAAAAATCTGTTTGTATATCTCAGAGAAGCTGATGATGCAGCATCTCGGTAGTGCCCCCATCTTCTCTTCTCGGGGCTTATTGCCACAATGTGTTGGCTTTTCGATGGGACCCAAATCTGTTAGGAGTGTGAGGCTCTTCCTCACATCATCTGCTGGAAAACTCACATTGGAGCAGCTGGTTTGTGCTTAGTAGTGCCTGAGCCTATTTCATTTCACTGGGATAATATCAAATCCCCCGATTTGTCAGCCTGGCATTGAGACAAAGCCACAGTGCTCATGCCCTTCTCCCCCGACTCCTTGATGATTTTCTAGATCCGTGCCAGAGATGATGGTCTGCCCTTTGCCCACATTGCTCTTGCCGTGGAGGGACCAGGGTGGGCTGATCCAGACAACATTGTCCTCAACGTGGCTAATGCTATTATGGGACGCTATGACCGCACGTTTGGAGGTGGCAAGGTGAGAGGTTTGTCAGCGCGATAGGGAGAGCCTGGTGCCTTCTAATATGAACTATTATGGAGACACTGGCCAAATGTGCTTTAGGGGGGGCTGCTGCGGTTGGCTTCCAACTGTGAGGTGGTCAGGAATCTGGAAGGTAGGATAGAAGTGTAATCAAATCTAATCCAGGGCTGTTCTTGAGAGGTGATGCTGGGAGATGAACTGAGCCTTCTCTGCTAAGTTTGGAAGAGGTTTAGCTGCTTAATTCTCAGCAGCTTATTCCTACCCTCACAAACTAACCACTCAGTGGGGGCAGTGATGGCAGCAGAGCAGTCTGTAGTCTTATGGTGCAAGCTTGTCTTACAACAGCAAAGCAGGTGGAACTTATTTGAAACCCTCATGTTACATCCATTCATGTCTGAAGTCTGTCTGGCCTGCGTGACTGTGCTAACCCCTGCTACTGGGAGACCTTGCACTTCCCATTTTCTCCCACTCCTCCGGCGCTATGCATACCAGCTCCTCTTCTGCAGCTGGCAAAGGAAGTGGTTTTGCTGGATGGGCTCTTAGGCCATTGTCTGTGGCTTTTCCACCAGCAAATCTCATCTGTTGACCACATGAAGAACCTAAATTAAGCTCTCCTTCAGCAAAGTGTTCCACTCTGTCTTGTCTGTGGTCTTTGTGAAAACAGCTCAGTTGGAAAGAATTTGAGCCGTGAGGCAGCTGTAAGACTGCATGGCTGAGGATCTCTCCTTCTTTCCAGAATCAGTCCAGCAGGCTGGCTACGCTTGCTGTGGAGCACAATCTCTGCCACAGTTTCCAGACGTTCAACACCTCTTACTCTGATACCGGCCTCTTTGGTTTCCATTTTGTTTGCGATCGTCTGTCCGTCGATGATATGATGTTTTGTGCTCAGGGGGAGTGGTAAGTACAACTTTGGCAAAAGTTCCTGTTAAGACCTGACCCTCTCATGGGAGACTGAGCTGGTGGGGAACATACTAAGTCTTCAGAGAGCTGTGTCTCCTTATGACCTTCTTGGTAACTCATATTCTGGTTAAGTGATCCTGTGAGTGGTTTCTGCAAACGTCTTGGGATGTGGCTTTTGAGGAGCTATTTTAATCCCGCAGGGCTTTCATTCATGCTTCCAAGTGGTAGCACTGAGGCTTTGTTTTTTTAGTGTACAAGTGAGATCATGCCATAGAGACAAGGCTTTCCTGGGTGCCCGAGAGGCATATCTCCATCGTTCTGTTAAGCTTGAGCGAAGCAGGCAGAGTTCCTGCCTTTCAGGCTGTTGTGTTGTGGCTGATAAATGCCCCACTGCTGGAGCCATGCCAGCGTTTGGGGGCTTTGTCTCATTGTGTACACGTCTATCCTGCTAACGGTTCGAGGCTGCATCTGAGGTTCAGAGCTGAGCCGTGCTGTGTGCGGAGCAGACGGAGTTAGCCCTTGCCCTGGAGACGTTGCAGTTGGCAGGGGAGGAGGGATTTCGCAGCTGGAATCCGAACAGACTCTGTAGAACTGTCTTGTTCTTTCAGCATCAGTTTCCATAGCAGCTTGCCATGCGTGGTACCTTCCCTTGTGAGAGCGTCCACAGACGCTAGAGCCAGCACCAGGGCTGCTGAGACCTTTGTGAGTGTAACTCAGCGTGTGACCTGCTGGCCGATGTCCCCTGCCTGGGAGCTTGAGCCCTTTCTCTCACCTCCTGCTGTTCAGTGTCCCCTGGTTCTTAGCTGCCCTGTGGTGACCAGGAATGAATCTCCCGCCTGCACGACAAGTGCTGCTGCTGATAGCTTATTTCTGCAGAGGCTTGGGAAAGAGAGGTGTTCACTTTCTGTCTGAGCAGACAAACATCTTTTAAGAGCTTTGGTCTTTCCATATCCTCTCTAGGATGCGTCTGTGCACTAGTACCACAGAGTCAGAGGTGAAGAGAGCCAAGAACTATCTCCGAAATGCCATGGTGGCTCAGCTGGACGGTATGTTCTGGTTTATGGATTGGCCACTGTGCAGCTTTCAGAGGGTTACTGGTTAGGTCTCTCCTGGGGGGCAGGATCTTTGCTAGACATTGCAGAACTGCTGGCAGGCACTGGGCAGAACTCCCTTTTCCCCGCTCTGCGTTCCTCCTGCCATCCTGTCAAAGCAGCTCGCCCTGGCCTGCTGTGCTCCAGGCTAGCTCTGACTCCTAAACTTGTCGTTCTGTTGTGAGTAACACGCTCCCTGGTGAAGTTAGAACTGAGGCCCTCACACTGCTCTGCCTGGGCTGTAACACTTTGCAGCCTGGTGACACAATCATTGTATTGCTGAACTCCTGCCGGAGCTGCTCAGGGTGGTAACTACAACTGGTACTTCATCAGACGCTGTTTCATGGCTAGAGTAGCTTCTGTCTGCTGTGGCTGATCATCAGGCTGCGGCTCTGGAAGGCTTTCTGCTGTGCTGACCATGTGGTATCTTCACCATCTAGGCACCACACCAGTGTGTGAGAATATTGGAAGCCATCTCTTAAAGTACGGCCGCCGTATCCCTCTGGAGGAGTGGGATGCCCGGATTGCTGTAGGTATCTGTGGTTTTGGTGGGATACCTGAGCGTGGTTGGTGTCAGCATTTTCCAGCCTTAGTTTGCAGCAGTAACGTGAAGTTACTTATCCCTTAGTCAAGCTGCCTGGAGTGCAGGCGGTCAGCTCACTGACACTGATAGAAATATGTCAGAATCTCTGCTACAGACTCGGAGTATCCTGTGTCTCCGTGGTTGGATTCAGGGGGCACATACCTGGGTTAAGTAGCGTAACTTGAAATTCTGTTAACGGTTTCCCTAGGGGTGGCAAGCATCTAGTTTGTGTACCTCTGCAGCCACTGTATCCCTTGGAGGGCTTTCAGATTTTGGACTGCCATGTCTTCTGTACCCTCAGAAGAGCGTGCTGTGTGGGACGTGAGCCATCCTCGCAGACAAGAGCTGGACAGTTGGTGCAGATGGCCCCCAAGGGTCTGACAGTATCTGTGTAACAACCTTGATATGTAATGGCAGCAGTGACTTCCAACTTTGAGAAGTGCAGGTCTGCTAGAAGGGTCATTAATTGCTTGTTTAATATTTATTAGGCCGTTGATGCAAGAATGGTGAGAGAGGTCTGCAGTAAATACATTTATGACAAATGCCCAGCAATCGCAGCCGTTGGTAAGTAGTACGTGGCAATTAGTACATGGTAGCTCAAAACCAGGAAGGGCTCAAGAGGCGAGTGGAAGTGAGCTGCAGGCGCTTCTGTTCTGGCCTCCTGACCACTCTGGTTCTCTGCTGCTATCCTCTTCCCCCTGCACGTTGGATGTGCCAAGGCACGTTTGCCAGGAGATCAAAGCTGCGGGTGACGGAGGTGCAGTGGCAGCAAGCTGCTGGCTGTCCTCCCACCTCTCCGCTTGCTGCAGAGCTGTGACTAAGATTGGGAGTCCCAGAGCTGGGTGCGGGCGCAGCAGCGTCTGCCAGGTGTCCTTACCCTGGGGTCATGGTGGTTTATGTAAGGGAAGTGAAGGGACCTGGTTCTCTTGTGCTGCTCTGGCATGTCTGTCTGGCCAAGGACAAATTCCTCTCGGAAAACCTGCCTGAGCAGCTCAGCTCCGCTCTGCTGCCTCCTTCCTGCGTGTTGTGGGTTCCCCCCCTCCATGCAGGTGTTTCCTCTGGCCTTCAAAGCGGAGCAGCTTGGAAAAGAGGGTTTTCATCATACGTTGAAATGAACTAGTCAAAATCTCTGACTCAGTGGCTCTCCGCGTGTCATACATGTGTGGAGCTGGCCTGAGCAGTGTGGGGAAACAGCTTGTTCTGAGGAGACAAGCCATGGTTTCTGTGTCAGGAGGGGGTATCTGCTGGTTTTCCTGGTGGAGGTTGGAGCTGTAGGTGCCTGGTTTTGTGCGTAGCTGCTCTGGATTGTGAGCAGTCTGCTCTGCCACCACCTGCTTTCAGACCACAGGATGCTGCACAGGGATTAACAACATCTCCAGTGACTGACTCTTCTTCTGTTCACTCAGGTCCCATCGAACAGCTCCTGGATTACAACCGTCTCCGCAGTTCTATGTACTGGATCCGTTTCTAGGAGGTGTCCCTGCAGGTTGGAAATAGTGGAGCTGTGGACTGTGAGACGTTCCCTCTTCCTCTGAACATCTTGTGCACCAGGGGCAAGATGAGTCACAATGAAATGGCTCTCTTCTTGCTGTTAAATGTATAAAAATAAATATGTCCTGTATGGAGTTGGTTCTGCTGGGTCGTGTGTGTAGACATTATTATTCTTGCCAAATTGGTGAGATACTGGACCAGTGAGTCTTGGTTTGTCAGGGCTCATGCTAGAATCTCATCCGTGTGTCTGTCTGCAGAACTGCCTCCTGTCCTGAGCTGGCAGTGTCCTGGTTCGGAGTCTCATCTTCAGGCTGTCTGAAGGAAGTCTCTACACTGGTAGGAGGCTGCCGGGGTGGCTCCAGCTATTTCCAGGGCGCCCTGCTCTGCGGGCAGCAGCATGGTCAAACCCGGGCTGTAGCGGTGCTGTTTGTGTCTGAGGGGACCCCTGTGCTCTGCTGCTCCTCGAGGAGAAGATCAAAACGCATCTCTGGAAGGTTGGTTCTCCACCTGTCCCCTGGGGTGTGGCGATGGTGTTTCTGGCCTGGCTGTTTGTAACCCTCTTGTTGGAGCGGTCGCCTCCACAGTGGGGGTGGTTTGTGCAGCCCCTTCCCCTAACCAGTTACAGCCAAACTGGTCAGCTGAGTTCCCACCACCTATTGATGGGCTTGGCCTTGCCTGGTGCTGCCTCGGTACAACCGAGCCGGTTGTCTCTAGCAGGGTCAGGATGTGTGAGGAGCTGGAGCTGCTGCTGGACAATCCTCTTTGCCTACGTGGGGATGTGTCCTCAGCTCCTTGTTTGTCTGTAAACCAGCTCAGTAATGAGCAGAGATTGTTCTGGAGTACGTTGGTGTGGGTCTACAGGTTCCTCTTGCAGAGGAGCCTCCATCTGTGCAGCCTCAGCTCTGCTGGGGAGCTGCTGACTGAGGTACAGCGTGACCTGCCCTATAGCTGGAAGATAATTTCTAGGTCTGAAGAGCTGAAAAAGCCATCCAGCCCTTCCTGCTTTATGTGGTGCTAATCTGGTTGTTGGTCCCTTGTCTTGCCTCGGAACAGAAAGGATGAAACTGAGCAAGGGGGCTGGAGAAAGGCTTCCCAGCAGGTGGCACCAGCCTGTCACAGCCACCCTGGGGGCTACGGGCTTCTCCTGCTTAATTCTTGGCTTTGGGATAGATCTCTCTGGGATTCTCATTTAATTTCCAGGTGCTGCCCTGACAAGCGGGATTTAAAAATAGTGTAAAAGTTGCTAGGAGTTAGTCATTACGCTTGAGACTAATCCAGTGTGCTAAATAATTTGTGCTGAATCCAGATTCTTGATGAGAGAGCCGGTGTGCCTGAACTCATTGCGTATACTAGGCAAGTTTGAAACTGTTAAATGTTCCTGATGCAATTTGGGTTTAACTATCGTCACAAGCTCTGGCTCGTTCCAAGTGCACCGAGGGCTGGAAAACCGAACAAGCTCACTTACGCCTCAAGCCTTGTAGAACCAGTAAATGATTCTGTCTTGGTTTTGTGACTGCAATCAGACTGCAATCCTTTCTTGTCTTCCCTGGCTATATATTTATTCCCCCAGGTGAGCTTCCAGGGCGCTCTGCAGTCGGTGAGAAATATGAGGAAAGGGGGATGCACCCCCTTGCTTCAGCGTTTCTTTCCTACAGGTTTTCTTCTCTGGAGGAATCTGCTGGGGAATGGTGGTTTCCTGGTGTAATTCCTCAGGCCCTCCTGCACTACTTTCTGCTAGGAACAGATGCAAACCCCTCTGCAACTGCTCCTTTCCAAATTGCTTCGTTTCTCTGCAAAAGCAGCAGGCTGGCTGCGCTGAGCAGCGTGCTCCCAGCGCTTCCGCGAGGACTGACGCCCGCTCACTCCCTCCTGAGCGAGAGCCTGCAGCTCGGCATGGCTCCTGCCTTCTGTGGATGCTTTTATCCCTGTAAAAATTGGGTATTTGGGCTGGTCTGGCCTAGGAGCTGTGTCCTGGTGAGCGGCACAGCGTGCAGAGGGCTGCGGGGTGCCTGCTAGCAGCTGGGAGCGGAGGCTGAGCCGTGCCCCCGACGTTGGCGTGTCCTGGCTGTGGTTGTGGTGGCACTCGTGGTGTGTGTCGCCTTTGGGTGCTGTGCAGCCCGTGCTGCCAGAAACACCAGCATCCCAGCAGCTCTGAGGATTGGGAGCTTTGCGGTACCATTTTTCCTCGGTAAACAGCATTTTTGAGCGGCCAGACTGCGGATGTGAGAGGTGAGGAGAGGAAGCCCGGGCAGGAGCCGAGCGTCGCTGCTGGGCAGATACCCAGGCGCTGAGCCCCAGCAAGGGGCTTGGGCAGCGTGATGCAGAATTGGTGCAGAGTCGTTGGGTGTTTGGCAGCTGAACCCCTCGCTGCTGGAGGAACCGGAGCTCTGATCTTGTTGGCAGCTCTCTTGCTGTAGGAGCTGGAGGGGTCTGTGTCTGTTCCTCTGCTGGAGCAGTCTCAGCCCAAGGGAATACAAACTGGGAAACGTCCCGCACAATGGAGGTGTCCTACCTCGGTGCTTTCCCCAGACCTTCAAAAAGGGGGATCTTCCGCGGGACCTCTCCCCTCCCCTTCCTGCGGTTTGCGCTGCCCGGTGAAGGATGGTGGCAGTGCCAGAGGAGGGAGTTGGAACCATCCCGAGAACAGGGCGATTTCGCTGAAACTGGAGATGGCCTGGGTGACCTAATAAATCTGTTTCCTGGCTCCCTGGACAATGTGGGATTGTTCGGCGAGGCTCTTTGACCAGTCTAGTTTTCAATGGCTTAAGTGTTTTATTTTGCTACTTCGCTTGGAAGATGATTTGGGATCCCATTAGACTGTGCTGATAAATTCAGCCTGGTGTGTGAACTGGCCTCTGCTCCCTCCTCTGCACCGTGCTGTCATATCGCCTCCCAGTAAAGTTCCCTCTTTGAAGCTGCTGCTCTCCACCTACCTCTAGGCAATTGTTTTCCCTCCCTGACACCTTGGCACTCTGTTTCTTGGCTGGAAGAGAGGAGGATTTGGAAAGGAGGATGCTCTGCATCGTGTGCACCCTGTCCGAGGCTCTGCCATGCCACCTGCACAGCGCTTCCCTGACTTTTTTCCCCGTACGGAGCAATTCTGGGCACACAGCAGTGAGAACTGTGAGCTCTCATCAGACCGGTGCTGAGCACTCCGGCTTTCCCTGGTCCCCAGCAGGAGAAGCTGCTGGTCCCGCGGCGGGGGGCTGCGTGGGGTGGTGGGGTGGTGTGCTGGCGGAGCAGGCAGCCCCTTTGATCCGGGAGCTGCATGTTCGGGAGCCGGGCGGCTGCCAAGAGAGGGGCCAGAGCAGCCAACTGTCAGGAGTTGCCTCACCTGAACTAATTACCCCCCTGGAAAGTACAGTCGATAGGAATCACGGGTGCTGAGCCAAGCCTGTCCTCGGGGAAGCGGGGAGCTGCACAGAGGCTTTCACAGGAGGAGAGGCTTGGAGCTGTGCCGACCAGAGCTGCTGGGAGCTGAGCCCGCACCCCCCCAACCCTGCTGCTCCCCCCGCTCCCCTGCAGAGGCTGGGGAAATGTGAAATCATGGAATCCCAGGGTGGTTTGGGCTGGAAAGGACCTTAGAGACCACCTAGTGCCACCCCTGCCATGGGCAGCGACACCTCCCACTAGCCCAGGTTGCCCAAAGCCTCATCCAGCCTGGCCTTGAACCCCTCCAGGGATGGGGCATCCCCAGCACGGCAGCGGGAGCGATGGGGCGGTGATGGGGCAGTGAGGTTGAGCAGACGGGGCAGGAGCAGCGTGGCTCTGCCGGTGCCTCGTGTTGCTGCAGCCCGGCGCTGCTCGGACCCCTCGGCACGGGGATC